GACCAGTTTTGGGAACTGTAGAGGCGTTGAGTAAAGCCAAGGAAACGGCCCGCAAATTGGGTTGTGATCCGTATGATTACAAATGGTTGGACTGTTTGCGAGCCATTGAAAACCCGGACCTATTTCTGGAGCCGACTGAGGCTGAAGTTGGTTTTGGTGTCACGTGGCCTGTGTTTGGCACTGAATTTCTCCCAGTTTTGCCACAAAAAGCATTTGAAAATAATGAATACAATTCGGGTAAACATATAAAATTAATTAAAAGTTATTTAAAATTTTTATTTGATATACAATTTATGGATCAGATGTGGATGTGATGGCCGGTGCGACCAAAGACGAGGGTCATTTGCTAGTTATGATGCTGTTCCCACAATTGAGGACTGATTTCAATATTAAGAAATTTCATGAATTAATAGAACTCCAGAGAGAGATCTACCATAACATAGACGTCCAGAAAGTATCCGATTATTACCTCCAGAATAGAGACCCCGAAAATCCTAATGACTTACAGCAAGCTTTCGGGGAACTGTATGGCGATATGTTGATGGTGTGCCCCACCTATGGGTTCGCCAAGAGTTTTGCCAAAAGTGGTCGAGACGTTTATTTTTATAGATTTAATTACCAGGCTAGTCTAATGGAAATGTTTGGCTGCGATGAGAACACCATATGTCACGGGGCGGACAGCCTCTATGTTTTTGGTGATCCCGTTAGGACTCCACAGATGTTTACAGAAACGGACTATGATTTCAGTTTAGATGTTATGAAGATATGGACTAATTTTGCTAAAAATATGTAAGTTGTGGTTGATTATTTTTTATTGAAATATTTATTTACATAATTTATTAAATCGTTAGAAAACCACACAATGTTTGGCCGAAACTAATAGACATTTCGGACGCGAATTCAGTGCCAAAAGTGAAAGACTTGAATCCCAACGATATGTCACGCGTTTTGGACAATCCTTACGGAGATATTTGTGATGGATTATGGAGTGAATACCTTGGTGAAAATAAATAAACATAAAAGGATATACATTTACTTAAAAATAATTCTTAAAACAAAATTATAGGTATTTACTAAAAAATATAAGA